AAAAAAAAAAAAAAAAAAAAAAGTTTCCAAAAATTCTGAAAAATGACTATGTCATGCAGAAGAATAAACTCCCAGCACACCTCCACACTTACCCAGTTTTCCATGCATCGAAGTTGCTACCTTGTCAAACAAGTGATCAGTTTCCATCCCGTAGGTCGATGATCCCACCGGATATGGATGGAAGATATGACATCGATGGTATAGTGGCTGAAGATGTCTTCAGGACTGGAGGTAGGGGTCGTCCACAGAAACAGTACAAGGTTCATTTTAGTTATCAAGAACCGGAAAACGACCGCTGGTTTACGAGATCTGAACTTCTAGAGACAGCTCCCGATATAGTCCGGGCCTACGAGAGACAACAGAGAGGTAAAGGTCCTGCCTTGGACTGAAATTTTCTCGGAGGACCTCGAATTTAGGCCGGCGGGAGTGAAACGGTATTCACCAGTTCGCACTAGCTGATGAAGATCCCAGGGCTCGATCCCTAGTTCCCCATCTTACCTGTGTACAGTACCGGTGTCAACCTTTAGATTTGAACCTGCGACCTGTAGGACCGCCAGTGGGAGGTAGGATTTCGTAGGCTACAGGGTAGAAGAGATTCGAACTGTAGACCTGTCGGGTAGGAGTCTAGACAGTCTAGAGGTCGTAGCTGTAGACTGTCCGAAGGGTCAAGGTCGCAGCTGCTACTTACCTGAAAGGGCAAAGTCGTAGCTGCTACAGTACCGAAAGGCCAAAACAGAGAGTTCTAGAAGTGGCCTTTCGGAGTCAGCCTACGTTAGGCAGAGGCAAGTGGTCAAGTGGTGGCAGTCCACCTCGTACAGTCAGCAGTCCCAGTCCACCCAGTCCGGTCCAGTCAAGCAAGTACCGTCTGGGACTRTGCACACCGTGGGMYAAGGGATACAGGGCAGACCAACGCATCACAGAAGTATAAAGCAAGAGGCTGCGCCCAGCCATTCATTCATTCATGCGGAAGCCATGCGGAAGCGCTGCCTTAGCGTCTTGTGCAAGGAGGTCTGCAGGAGACCCGAGGACAGAGTGAGCGAGAGTGAAGCAGTGTAGTCATAGTGATAGGTAGCGGCAGCCATAGCTGCTGCCATAGCGTAGTGTAGGGTGTAGAGTGTGTACTGAGTGTGTGTTCTGAGTATCGCGTGTGGGACATCCAGGGTGATCCAGAGTGTGAACAGTGAGTTGTTTGAGGCGCACAGTCGCCATAGCCAGTGGAAGCGAACTGTTACTTGGAAGCCATGTCTCTGAGTTCTGTGTGGGCGCATGGCGCCAGTTTGTTGTTCTGCTGTTCACGTGCATGAGAAGTGTGAATAAGTCGAGTCTGATTGCAGTTTTCAGTGTTGGGGGTGTTATTAACCTGGGGCTGAAAAGTGGGGGTCCCCACGCTTGGAATGCCATAAATCATTTCAACAGGACAGGCCATTCATCTGCCAATCCCTTACACTATACTCACCACGCCATGTCATACGTGACTCTGACAGGATCGACCATTCATTTGTCAATTTCAGGTTCAAATTCAGTTCATCGACACCTCTCATGGGCTACTCCGTTTTTTTTCCGGCAAGCATAAAACACAGCCTCATCATTACTGTATCATGTCAGAAAGATTGCGCGCATACATTCCCGATGAGGATGTCTTCTGTCCTGGGTGAAGGCGGTAGGTTTTCAAAATATATCAAAGCAAAAGAAAGAAGAATGCAATAACAAAACCGATACGACATGACCCTACCCATCACACGGTCAAAAACGTGAATGCAAATGGAAATGACATAATAACACATACCCTGTGGAATCGGAATCGCCAGCCTCTGTCAGCGTCTCGCAGAGCACTATATCGAGTCTGTTTATTGAAACCACCACAGGATCTGATTTCACATTTGAAACAGATGGAAGCTGTGCCACAAACGACAAAATACAGAAGGATTAATTAACGTGCATTCACTATTGAGAATCAGCACACCAGCAAGTATAACATAGGGCAAAAAAAAAAAAAGAGAGAGCATCGTTTTCGGAACTTTTATGAAGTTTTTCATTTCATAACTTCCAAAGAATCCAAAGATTCCAAACGCATGCAGTCCATTTTCTTACGTATTCTGTTTTGTAGTAAATTGATATTTATATTTATACAAAAAGTCTCTGCCCAAACGCATTCAGTCCATTTTCTTAGGCATGCTGTTTTGTAGTAACTTGATATTTAATATTATTATTTATATTTATACAAGAAGCCTCTGAATCTCACCTTGTTTGGCACGTCACAACGGGTCTGTCACAACGTACCTGGACATTCCCATCACCAGATGCATGACCTCTAGAGGGACATGTTGCTATCAGGGTGCAGTCAAACCAAAGGAATTGGGCCTCCGAACCGTACGAGATAGTCACCTATCATACGGCTCTCCAACTCAACTTACGATTAGGATAGATAGATATTTCTGGATATAGGCCCCTTTCTCCACGAAGTGGGTGATGTTGAGTATAGCCTCTAATTCTCGGACACATTCTTAGATCCCTTCCCCAATTCAATTAATTAAATGAAATTATTCATTCTTAGCACATGACGTAGCAAAGAGCAATTTAACCCTTCTTTCTAAACATTGCTGCTTAGATCGTTAAAAAGCTATATAAAAAGTATTAAAAAACAAGAAAAAAATCCCAACAAAAAATCCTAACAAAAACGAAACTATATCCATCAACTGAACACAAAATCCATTCCCTCGACTGCACGAACCCGAAAGAAAAGTTCGAAAACGGGATTAAAAAAGCAACAAAAGAAGTCCAGAAAACAGCTGGCACTTTGTCTCTGGGTAAAGAGGGTATCTTCAACTTTTTTTAACTTTTCTTTTTTTCTTTATGAAAAAAAAAGCAAAAAAAGAGCAACGGGCTTGAGATATCATCGTCGAACTGACCCACCCCATGGAATTCAGATTCCACAAGGATTCAGTTCGAGCGAGTCGGGACCACCGCGAATATAACTTAATAGGTCAAAGTGTCAGATTGCGAATTTGAAAACACGGGTTCAACTCCCTTTATTCGCCTCTTGCATCTGAACTCTGGCGAGCCTAAATCCAGCCAAAGCTGGCATCAAGACAGTTATTCATTGACTGAAGTCCACGAATCTAAGTTATTAAGATTTGAACTCGGATCTGTTTGTCAACAGTATTATGGATGTACCGTCCAGCCACAACGACTGGGTTTTCCATCTGCAGTCACCTCAAGGACAGCAGATCACTTGGCTAAAAACTGTGATATCTTTTGATTTCTTTCTCTGAGCATAATATCTCTTTCAGCGCATACTCACACTAGGACTTGTTGGGATGAATCTGACTGCAATTCCACCTCGGCTTGGATGTATCTGACCACAATTACATCCAGAGGCTCAGTCCAGGAAGTCCCAGTATATTCTCTCAGATACCAATGGGAGATCGCCCCCCCCTACCTGGAAGTCCCAGTATATTCTCTCAGATACCAATGGGAGATCGCCCCCCCCTACCTGCCTCCCTCCTCCCCTCTCCAGTTCACCATGATGCCGTGACAAATTACCGGTTTGAGTTAATTTAACCTCGAGTTCGTAAACTCAATGTTCGGTGCTCAGTAACAGCAGGGTTGGCTCAGATGAACTGCTGAGATGCAGAGACTCAGCTCAACTCCAGGCGGAACCAGAAGAACAACATTCCTGAATTACCTGGGGCCAAGTTCAGTTTTCAACTTTTCAGTGTTTTCACCTATTTTAACATCCAGCTCACCATACCGTTCACTGATTTACACCACCGGTACGTTTCCCCGCTATTTTTCAGAGATGCGGCTCGTCAACGGCCGCACCTTTTAGGGCTGCGCCGCCATTCATCGGCGGCCGTTGTTGCATTTTCAGGCCTCCAAAAGTTGCGGTGAGGGCCACGCGGCCGATGCATGGGAAGCGTACTGGTGGATCAGTCCAAGCAAAATTTTGGCCGCACCATTTAGGCCTGAGCAGCCATTCATCGGCGGCCGTTGTCGCATTTTCGGGCCTCCAAAAGTTGCGGTGAGGGCCGATATATGGGAAACGTACTGGGGAATCAGTCCAGGCAAAATTTTGGCTCACTTTTTATTTTAAAGACAGTAGTCCTCTAAGTTATTGTATCCGTCTGATTCTGTCAAGATTTGAGCTTACGGCCTAGGCTACCAGCCGGGCCGCCCGGGTCACCCTGTTTTCCTGGGCGGCCCGGCCGTGCAAGGACCCAGGAAGGTCGCAGCAAAAAAAAAAAAAAAAAAAACTACGTTATGCAGAAAGATGAACTGAACAACTCTTGCCTCAGGGTCAATCGAAATTGTTTACCAAATTTGAAATAAAAATTTACATTCAAAAATAGTCCTTTTTTTTTTTTGGCCCATCCGGGCAAGCGGTCCCAGGCCACTCTAGTAACCTATCTTACGACCTGTTTGGACTTGCAACCTGTTTCAACAGTGCCTTCACAATAACCACTCCAAGTAAAATTTTGGATCCCTTTTTCCGAGGCATAAGGGCCCCAACGAGCCCCTTTCCACCCTGTAAGCAGCACTGTCGACCGCCCTAAGTGAAGGCAGGCCCGACCAAGGCCAAGAGGCTTATTTTCGGCTACCACGCAACTGGGGAAATTCAGGCAGTTCCGCAGCGCCAGTTGGTTGAGAGTGCCCAAGCCCTCGCTGCCTTTTCCGTACGTAACCAAGGCAGGCCCTGGGCAAGATACACAACATGGGCCGAACCCAGGCTGCGGGCAGTTGGGCACAAGCAACCATCACAGGCCCTGGGCCTGATTCATTACGACCGGGGCTCAGCCTCTCGGGCCCTACCGGAAGCTTCTGGGCCAGGGCCCAGCACAACCAGGCCGCACGCAGCTGGCAGGGCATTTCCATATAGGAAAGGGCCTGTGCCCGCATTCGGCATTCGGCCACTGGCTGCATGCTGCGCAAGCGCTGCTGCGCTGATCGCTGGCCAGGCCCACGCGCTCACGGGAGAGCTGGATAAGGCGAACAGAAGTGGCCGAGATTTGCTCGTACTTCGGGGAGCTGTTGACGTCACCAACGGCATTGTAGATAGGCTAGATAGTATCTGCCATTTGTAGTCTGGGCGCAGAGCGCCAAATAGGAGTTCGACATTGGTTCTTTGTTGATGATGATGAGACTATCCCAGCATTGTCACTTATGAGCTTTTGCTGTGTTCTTATTTCGTGGAACTCGAGTTGCAATTCTGCTTTTGGTTCGAGCCTTCGAGGTCACGACTATCTGGTTTAATGTGTACGATGCTGCTTGGTTTCTGGAATCCGCTATCGCTCATTTTCCTTGCATTTTTTTTGTTTTGAAAATAGGTCTCCTTTCTACCGCCAGCTCAATCAGAGTACTGCTCTTACTGCTTTACGCAGTCCGACCTTTTCGGCTCAGGCCTGGGCCAGAAGCAAAAGGTGCAGCAGACCACTTTGAAAAGACTCCGTTGCAGGCCCATGAGCCTTGGAAGATAGCCATGTCAACTCGGGGGCTGCGCGAACTGGCGGTTCAAGCCGGGCCTGCAGGCCTCTTACTGCGCGCCAAGCTTTTCCAAGGCGCCAGCGGTGCACTTCTTTTCTTGTTTGGCTGGCGCCACCAGCCATCGTGGTTCAGTAGCCTGAGCCTCCACAATTTTCATAGGCTACGAGTTTCTTTTTCAGCAAGGCTGGGGCCGTGTACTGGCGGTTTAAAGCACCAGTACACCACATATCGGCCCACGGGTGGCAGCATGAGACCTGCACGACTTCGGAGGCCGCCGTTTTTTTTTCTCAACGGCGGGCCTGGCCTCGCGGCGTCTCCGAGTTTYGCTTGTGGCGACAAAGACTTTCTGCAAGCTGGGGCCGTGTACTAGCGGTTTAAAACTGATGTATGTATCCATCTGATTCTGTCAAGATTTGAGCTTATGACCTGTTTGGACTTGCAACCTGTTTGTTCACAGTTACGTACACATACGATTCAGACACAGAAGATGGGTAACCTGGGTTTAATTAAACACAAGCCGACGCGCGCCACGTTCGCGGCGGGGGCAAACAGCATCCCCACCCCCCACCCCCCCAAAAAAAAGATGTCGCAATGAGAGTGAATCTTCTGGTAGAGCAGGGAAAGGTACACCACCATGAGAAGGTGAGGATGTCGAAAGAGGGCATCACTCCACTACTCAGCAAAAGTGAAAAATGATAATGCATCTTCCCCTAGAGCACGGGGAGATACACCAGCACATTTTTTGCCTTCCGTGCATGTGGTGAGTCGCCGCGCAAGGTCAAGAGTCCCAAGGAAAGGAACGGGGAGATACACTGACATTTGTTTTGCCTTTTGTGCATGTCGCGAGGATTCCAGCTTGTTACCTGCCACAGGTCCTCTTCGAGCTCCATGTCGTGGACGTATCTTTCCGCGCTACAGCAGCAGACATATATTCTCGTTTTGCACATTGGATTTGGTGGCTCAGACGCCCACTGTCTTCCAAGCTTGTTGTTATGGATGCATCTTTCCACGATCCAGTAACGCATACCTTCTTGAGAAGCCCACTGTCTTCTGCCTGGAAAGATATGCGGCCACCTGGGTGGCGCCCGAAAACCACAAAATTCAAGATTCTGGCCCGACCATGCTCCAAGAGACAGGTCCACTGTGTGCTTGTATTCAAACAGGCGCCTATTCCTGTTGAAACGAAGTTCTACCTTTGACCGCAGCGCCATGAAAAAAGAAAGGCAGACCCAACGAAGATCTAGATTCGACCACGCCGCCCAAAAAACCAAAAAAAGCAGACCCCTCCCCACAACAGCACGGCACTTGACACAAACTTCTGGATTCGAACACACAGCCGGAAAATAAAAAAACGCAGATTCCTCCCCAATCGCGTTCACACCCGCTCGTGTGAGAAAGATGTGATGACCCGCCATAGCACGGACTGAGAACACTGCTGACTTCTGAGTTCTGCCGATGGAATGGATGCCTTGCTGAGATCCCCGCATTCTGCTGAGTTTTCTAAGTCCGTGTGTGTTCGTGCTTGATGACCTGCATGCCTGTCTGAGTGCTTGTCAGCACGAGTGTGTGTGTGACCCGCAAGGGTACTTGCTTGTTTGGGAGGCCCGTAGGGCCGGTACTTACCTGTGGCCGTGACATTGAGAGTTGCCGAAGGGAAAACACTCAAATGGCGGAGCCAGAGGCCTGCCGCACTCGGCGCGGAAAAACACTCAAGTAGCAGGTAGGCCGGTACCGCACCCAGTAGAAGTAGATGTGCCAGGTACTCTAGGCCGAGCAGAAGAAGACAAAGTTGGCATTTTTAGAGGCCCAGTAGTGGTAGGCTAGGCCCTAGGCGGGTACCAGTCCATCCCGTCTGAGTCTAGGGCCTGTACGGGCAATATCAGAGTCTGCAATGATGTCTCCCTCCGAAAGGGAGGAGGTACCGGTTGCTTGGGAGGCCGAGCAGCATGTACGTCACTTCCCAGGAGGCAAGTAGGCCGCTATATCATGACGCTGAGCGAAGAGCCCAGCCTCATTCTTCAGTGTGCAAGTTTGGCGACACACTGCTGGAGCGCTGGCTGGAGGAGCGCTGGTTACTACAGCGCTGCTGGGAGGAAGGAAGCCCGGGAGCTTCCACCTTGGCTATGGTGGAGCTCTACCGGTAGGAGGAGGGAAAAGAGGACCAAGGAGGAGAGTGGCGAGGTACCTACCTGCCACCTGGCTATGGTGGACACCATCTTCATCACCTTGTTAGGCAATGCATCTGGAAGGACCCAGTTGGGGTAGTGCCGCATCAAGGAAACTCGGGACAGAGTCAGGCATGGCGGCTGAATGGGCAGCGGCATAGCTGGCTTGTGTTGACCTTGGGACAGGGGGGCAGCGACATAGCAGCTTTGGGTTGTCCTTTGGACAGGAGGGTAGAGCCCTCAGTACTCCGCCATAGCCTTGGCCTACATGAAGAGGAAGAGGAAGGGTGGCCATGACTATGGTGGACCTCATGTTGTGCCTGCAGCAGAAGAGGGATTCGGACATTGATTCTGGTTCAGCCATTCAACATTATTATTGCTATTTCTTGTTTGAATAAGAGGGGAGGAGATAAGGAGGAGATTGGTTGGCGAAGAAGAAGAGCATTATCTTCCGTCTATGCTGAAGTACATCATCTTCTTCTTCTTTCTTTATTTTTCTTCTTTCCCTCTCTCTCCTCTCAAGTTCATTCATTTCTTTTTGCAATTGGCCGGCATTGTACTTTCTGATGAGTGTGTACTTCGAAATTGGCCAGGATCGTAACAAAGAAAAAAAAAAGACAAACGTGCCCATACACGAAAAGCTCTGGGCCCAGCCCGGAAAAGGGTCTCCCGTGGGAAGCGTTGTGCAAGACCCACTATTTGCTTTCAGAGTATCCCTATCTGCCTACGGTTTACCGGGCAGCTCTGTTTGACGATATATAGGGAAGACACACCCGGTCCTGCAGGTGCCTTACTGTGCGGCAAGCTTTTCCAAACTGCCAGCAGAGCACTTTTTTAACTTTTTGGCTGGCGCCACCAGCCATTGTCGTCCGGTAGGACGATCCTCCAAAATTTCCGTAGGTTCTTTTTCAGCAAGGCTGGGACCGTCTACTGGCGGTTTAATTAAGAGATTCAGCGTGATTTCACATGGACTGCAGTGACTACAGTCCAAGTTATATTCACTAGAGATTCCATCAGAACTCAAAACCAACATCCTATACAGTTCATCCTGTTGCCACCGAATTTTGCTTTTTCTTTTTTTTCTCAATCGGGCTGAGACTGCTGTGGGGGGTGGTACGAGCATCCACCCATAGTATTCTCTCACGGGAAACTATCAAGTTAGTATCAACCCAAGTTAAATAAAGATCCGGCTGGCAGGCTTGTGAACACACATTTTGCTGTTCCCTAATAGACCATGAGTTAAAATCCTGGTTCATACACAACAGTGCAAGGGGGGTTACCCCTTATCCAAAAAAAAAAAAAAAAAAAAAAAAAACTTTACGATTGTGCCATCCCACAAAGGAGATTGTTGTAAAAATTAGACGAGACGTAAGGATTCAATAGGAAGCCGGGATAGGGAAGGATCTAGACTAAGAGAGTGTTAGTAGGTACAAAAAGATGGTTGAACAGAGGGTGTGACTGACAGGATGTGAGGCCCGTGACACTGCTAGAACGGCCCCCCCGGGCCAGGCCTTCCCTGGGGATCCATCTGTTGTGTAGCTGGGTGCTGCTAGGAAGCCTCCCGACCAACAGAGGTATCCCTGGGGAGGCTATGGTATGGCAAGAGGGATCGATTGTAGCAATCCCCCCTTTGTAAGAAGTCTAGGGCCACAAGGGTAGGGCTTTCCTCTTTTCCTACAAATAATTTGTACTTTGGAACTTGTGCTTGCCGGTGATAAGCAACGGGACAGATGCCCCCCAGAATAGAAGGGACTGAGTCGTTTTGGGTCAAAAAAAAACAAAAAAAAACAATGGTGCCATCCCAAACGACCAGTCCACACTAAATAAAAACCCAGTTGAATGCAATGACCTGCGCCGTTCCAGACATTGAAATCTGCATGTTTTAAGAAAAGCTGTCGTCTTTGAAGTTTGACTGTTTGCCGAGATTTCCAAGTTTGAGTGTCTGTAGTTGTGTTTTTTTTCTGAGTGTGCATGCAACCTGCTGATGATGCATGTACGTCGTGTGGTTGCCTGCGCCTTGAGCAGGGGTAGATAAGGTTACGACCCCGCGACCACACGCTTTCTCTCCCCCCTTTCTGTGCGGGTTTCCCCTTGATTTTTCAGAAGGCAGTGCGGATTCGTCGCCTGTTTTCTTTCCCAGCGCCTGTTTTCTTACCGGCGCCTGTTTTTTTTGCTCATTTTTCGATACTCAAAAGCGACATCAGGGTGCTTGCCCCTTTTTTTTCTTCTTTTTCAACAGACAACATGAGAGGCAGTCACCTGAATTTCCAGCTTTCCAACGCGAGCCTGTGTCACACGCAATGATGGAGGAAGCCCAAGACAAGCATGAAGTGTCTTCCCATTCAGATCTGCAAACATCAGGCCACAAAACAACCATGTCAGTGCGCGATTTTACTAGCAGACTCTGCACTCTCTGGACTCCTTTTACAATTTCTGGACGCAATTGCAGTCAGGTTCATCCACGTACGGCCGTAAATGCAGTCAAAATATCAACTTATGATAGAACTCGTCTGAGTACGCCCTCCGGAGAATCAGCACTACTGATGGGTTAAGCATGTGATAGAGATTGCTGAATGTGACCAATAGTCGACCTGCCAAGTGCTGCAAACCTGATCCTAAAAAAAAAAAAAAAAAAAACAGATCTTCACGTATATTGTCACATATCTATCATATATTCATATATTGTGAGAATTTGTGACATAACTATCAAGTGGTATCAACTAAAAGGGCGCATTTAGCGAAACAAGTGACAAAAACATTACGAAGACAAGGATAAAGAGCACACTGAGACCCCTTTACTGTGCCTCGCACACACAGGGGCTCGTTCGACACTCCTCGGGGCATCCTCGGGCCCCGAGGACGATTCCTTGGAGTCGCCGGAGGAAAATCCCGCCTTCGTTCCACTCATCCTCGGAAATGTTCCCCGAGGACGATTCCTCGGGGCATCCCGCGGCCAGTTTCATATATCGACAAGTGGACGCGGGGGGTGGTCGCCGTTTGGTCCATCCTGCATGTCCGTGTGGGTGAGGGTGGTCCAGTGCTGGCGGCATGCATGACCGGGCTCTGCGGCGGGGAAAAAATAAGGCAAGGAAAAGGCGCGGTGTCCCAGTTCGAAATTTGAATTCGAATTTTTGAGGACAAGCGTGTACAAGCGTGTGTCCCTTGCGGGTGATGGCGGCGACGTTGTTCAGCGGTGGCCGTTTCGGATCTCGGCGGCGGCGCGCTTCTGACGACACGCGGAACGTACATGTACGCGTTGGAAGCAGTGGAGATGGCGTGACACAATCGCGTTCGTCCTCCCGCTTTCAGGAACATGGATTTCCATCGCCGGTTGCGCTGAGCATTGTCATCTTCACTGCTGGCAGCGCTGTTTGGCGGCCCGCATAGCGCTCTGGCGTCTTCTGCACTCCGCGACAGGCGACGGGGGGGGTTGGACGTGCGGATCCTCGCTGTTGATTCGTGGTCTGCGGTCTTCTGCACTTCGCGACGGGCGGATCCTCGGTAACGTTTACGGCGATGGCGCCGGAGGGGATGGACATGCGTCATGCGCTATCGAAGGCGGAGAGGACTGCAGTGGCAGCGGCCGTGAGCGCCGTCCTCTTCCGGTGCCAGTTGGAGAGGGGCGAGGGGAGGATGAGAGCGGCCATTCGCGCGCGGCGGAAACGGACTCTGCAGTCGCCCGTCTGTGGGGGGTGACGACAGCGCTTCCATTTGCGACGTCGTGCTGCAGGTGTGCTACGCCATGGGGTGTGGAGCGTTCCCCAGAGCGACGCCCAGATGGTGGATGACGCGACGTACAGGCGGCACGTGGGAGGATCTCCCGCTATGCGACGACGCGACGGCGGACTACTTCAGGGAGAAGCTACGAATGTCGCCACGTGTATTCTGAGAGATAACGGAAGCTCCGTCTCCCTTCCTTGAGCGACGTGTCACTTTCTACAGGGAGCCCCTCCAGCCAGACCAGATTGTCGCCTACACTTTGTACAGGTGGGCGTCAGGGGAGACATACGAGAGCGGGACATGCAGCTTTGGCATTGGCAGATCTTCCGGGTTGGTGGCGGTGCGGGATGTGACTGCGGCGTTGCTCAGTGCGCTCCCTGACAAGATCTCGTGGCCGACGGGTCTGCAGAAGGTGGTCGTCTCGCGCGCTTACGCTGACAAGGGTTTCCCCAACTGCCATAGGTGCATCGACTGCACCCACATCTTCATCGACAAGCCTGCGAATTGCCCCCGGGAGGACTACTACGATAGGAAACGGCGTTTCTCCGTGCAGGCACAGGTCGTCGTGGATTTGAACTTACGCGTGCTGGATGTGTTCGTCGGTTACCCGGGAAGTTGCCACGACGTCAGGATCGTCCATCTGTCCAGTTTATGGGCACGCGCGGAGGAGGGAGAGCTTTTCACCGGCCCATCTGTCATGCTGCCTTTCGGTGTGCGAACGGACGGATATCTGCTGGGGGACAACGGCCATGAAACGCCATGAAACGCGCGTGGACGACGCGAGCACCTGCAAGACAGCCGTGGACGTACAAGAAACGGCGACGGTCACTCTGCCGATAACGGTCAATCGCAGCTAACGACAAACAGTGGGTAACGTGCTCCGTCGCGGAAGACACAACGCGATCGGGAAAGCGGGGGCGGCCTGAAGTATTCGAATCTTCCGACCGTTAGTCGCTTCCCCACCAGTGTCGAAGGGCGGCAAGGCAGCCCCTTTCCGACGTCGCGAAGGACGGCAGGCCGCCCAAGGGACCATTGGCTGAGTATTCCACGACGCCGACCGTTGCCAACCAGAGATGTCCGTCCACGGGCCGCCGAGAACAGCAATGAACCAGCCGCGTCGAAAATTGTCGTCGAGAGAGCTGTCGTCGACGCTCCGATTCTTCCGGAAGCTCGACCTCCAAGGGACCTCGGGAGGTCCCTTGGGGAACTCGTCGAAATGGCTGTAGCCCGAGGAATCCCCGAGGAAACCCCGAGGAAACCCCGAGGAAATGTTTTCACATTTTTTTTTCGTTTTGTTCCCCGAGGATAGGTGGAACGATGATTTCCATACACGCCCGAGGAGTGTCGAACGAGCCCCATACAAGACTCGCCAAACACAGAATGAACCTGGTCCAGAAAACAATCAAGGTTCTATGGAACCCAGTTACTACCACATCACTCTTCCTATGCAGTTCTTCCTTTTCTGTGCCTCTCACGTACAAGGTTGGCCTAGCTGTTGCCTCTTTGATCATTCATTTTCTTAGATCCCCCCCCCTTTACTGACACCCTCGCATACAAGGTTCGCCTAGCACAGAATGAACCTGGTTCAGAAAACAAACAAGGTTCTATCAAAACCCAGGTACTCCGTGTGGTTTGCGATGAATGATTTCATTTCATCCAAAAAAGGGCCGTGTCAAGCATCCCATCACCTTCGACAGTGGAAGGTATACACTTTCAAATCAGTCCACCATTTTTCCATGGTAACCCCGGACCCAGACACCGGACACTTTCGGACTGTCTTCCAGACCAGTGTCTAGACACGTAGACTCCATACTGTCCGGCGATCTAGACATCACTAGACACCGGACAGTCCGAACAGGTCTCCGGAGTGCAAAAATGTACGGACCCAAAAAAAAAAAAAAAAAAAAAAAAGGGCGGTGGGGAGGAGGTTGGGTGGGGGTGTTGGCAGGCCACCTGCTTTGCACTCTGTAGTTCAGGCAGCAGAGCAACTGTCTTGCAGCAAATCAACCAGCACATTTAACTAGCAGACATGCAGAGTTGCAAACAGTGCAGAGCAGGCACAAGACTAAAGAAACAGAGAAATTTTTTTTTTTTAAAGTACAATTAACTTTGAACTTTGAATTTTGGATTTAGTAATATAAAGTTCATAACTTTGTATATAACTTCAAAGTTCGTAATTGCAGTTCAATTCAGAACCTCAGAGTCTTCAGACTGGCAGCACTGTCAATGTCTCTCTCTCTCTCTCTCTCTCTCTCTCTCTCTCTCTCTCTCTCTCTCTCCCCCCCCCTAACGGGCAGGAGCGGTGGGAGCCATGAAGAAACGGCCGCTTTGAAATTGCTCGGGCCTGTGCGAAACCCGCCACCTCAAAAACCTGCAGTGTCTTGTGTCTGGACCTCTAGGCCATGTCCGGCGGGGTGAAAGGACACTCAAAAATCAACTTGTTCTTTTTCGAGGGCCGGCTAGGACCCGACAAACGTCCTGGGCCGCCCCATTTTTTTATTTTTATTTTGCCCCAGCGGCTTCCATCCAGACATGGGGACAAGAAACCGGACACCGGACTGTCTGGAACCCGATCCGGACGTCCGGGCCGTTACCAACTTACCATGCATTTTTCCCTCTTTTTTCTTTGGGCCAGGCGAGAGGGGGGTGGGCGGGGGGGGGAGGGGGGGCGGGGGCGGGGGGCCATTAATCCAGTTACTATTCCCCCAGCAAGTCAAAGGTACAACATTGACATCACTCACGCTTCCTTCCATTTGGCGGAAGGATTCCTGACCCCCATTGATTTCTCCAATGGCTTGGAGGATTAAGCCACAGGTACTCCAGAGACTCTTAGGCCCCCTCTGACGCAAATGCATATGGACCCGCGCTGCGCACAGATTCAGCCTCCGAATTAACGGCTAAATATATGGTAGGTACTGGTGGTTTAAACCACCAGTACTTGGCCCAGCTATCGGCTGCAGGAAAGAAATAGAGTAGAAACGTTTCTAGTTGGATGAATTTGGGCGCCCCTGTAGTGTCCCGTACGTTTCCTAAAACCGTGGCGCGTTAACGGGCACGACTCTAGGAAGTACTGGTGGTTTAAGTGTCAGCTTGCCATTCTCCTAATACTTCTCCTGGATCAGGCCATCGAGCTGGACATGTCAACATAAACAGGGAAACCACAAAAGACGAGCACGGCCAGGTTGGAGTCCATTTTTCTCGTTTTTAACTCGGGACCATTTCTCGATTTATGCATGGCATCTTTGTGCAGGGGCCATGCTAATCATGTCTGTATCGTTCCAATTTCCACGGATGTCCCGATGGACTTCTCTGTGTCGACTTCTGACACACAGTGTCAAATCAAACATCGAAATTGGGATTGTCGTCAGGAGTCCATGCATGTTACATGCACAGATATACAATGTACGTAATAACCAAGGAACTGCAGTGTGATGAAAAGGACTGACTGAACAATACAGTGCGAGTAGAATCTCGACAGACAATGTACATTCTCATACATACAAAAGGTGCTGAATGGCGCAGGGAAGACTTTGATACAAAGACTGACCTGACAGGACTGACCTCATTCACGTAGTTCAGAGTAGCGAAACAGAATGCTAGAGTAGTACTAACTAGCCCAATCAATGTT